CAGCTTTAGTGGGACGTCCCCAACGGATAAGTTACAAGCTGCAAGGCAAACACGGTTGTGCTTCGTTCGTTTGCAAGAAGTGCATACGAAGGCGAACTGTGAAGCAATGAGCAGGTTTAGTGGCAAGCTAAATGTGAAGTTAGCGTCATCGTGTTCTGACTCCGAATCGTGTGACGATAATGGTCCGGTGAAGAAGCCTGTAGTCGTAACTGGTAATCCATTGTTGAGAAGAGTGTCTCAGACGACACCGCAGTTTGTGCATAAGAAGAGGGTTACAGTGTGAATGTACAGTTCTGATTCCACAAGTTTACAAGGTATTACTAGTCAGAGTAAAGGAATAAAACCCTTAAGGATTCATGAGGATGAACGTAGGTCATCTATGGCTGTTATTAAAGAGTTTGAAAGTGATGAAGTCGATCATACAGACGGCGGTAAAGTGGGTATTTGTGACGATGGTCACGATAGTTCACATTCGTCTGTGGCTGATCATGACGAGATTAGCGGAATGCCTACTACTACTGAGTTGAACAAAGGTTCTGTACAACTTGAAAGTGAAGTAGAATTAAAGGCAGATGCGGTTGCTGCAGATATGAATAATCGTGAGACCGTCAGGGTAAATGATCCGAGTGTAGCCCAACTATCGACAGATGTTAAAGCTGAACTGGAGCCAATAATAAAGGATAGCAGTGGTGGTAATCCTGTGGTTAGACAACCTCCTAAAGGTCTAACAACAACAGCTTCTGATACACCGCTAAGTTCTTCAACTGGTGTCAGCCAGTCGTCGTTGGTGTTGTCATATGCAGTAAAAGAGCCGTCCATGAACCAACGTGTCTTATGCAATGATTATGCTAGTGTCGGTCAGTTCGAAGGGATTAAAGTTAATGGCCAGTTCAGTGATGATAAGCCAAATGTGTACAAGAGGGTAACTGTTAGACTGACTTGCACGAATAAAGGCATTTCAGGTTTCAAACTACTATTCGAATGTTATTATCTTTGGTGCAAACTACTCTGTGCCTTCGCTTGGTTGGTCAGATACGTCGTATGTTTGTTAGTCATCTATATTCCACGATATAATGTCATGGGCGTGTTACCATTCAGAATGGAGGATATAGATGATGGAAGTAGGTCAGTAAATGAACTCAACGACGATTTTCCAACTTAAGTGCGTCAACCTGAGATGGGTTGTAGGCGTACTGCTGTAAGTCCTACAATTCTTCAAGGGTAGTACGTCGAAGAGCAGTCCATCGTACTTGGTGTATTATTTTGTACATATGTTCATGTTGTATATAATCAATTGATACCATCCCTCTTCTATCTGTTGATTAATTTTGTTTGTGTCCGGACGTCTTCCACTTGGATAGTCAACCTAAGAAGTAATGTGGGCGTACTGCGGTAAGTCCTACAGTTCTTCAAGGGTAGCTCATCAAGGCAGAATCCGCAACATTTGATGTATTGATTGTACATATGTTTGTGTTGAGTAATTCAGTGGGTTCCGATTCATCTGATTGTCGGTTAATTTTATAGTTGTAACATTGTGTGAATCATCTTGTAATGTTTTGTAAGTACTTCTGAATTCACTTCTAAACTTGTGAACCAATCGAGTAGTGTTAGAGTCAGCGTACGCGATTGGATACGCCGAGGAGAGGATTGGGCTAGAGTGGAATGAAGCAATCGATACTTCGTGAACCAGATCAGTGGTGGTATTGTCGTCAGAGAGCGTAGATCCCATGCGCTGGGGAGAGCGTGTTGGTGTGATGTGGTATGTTTGCTGTGTGTTGAGCTATTTTGTCTTGCTTTTCCAATTTTAGCCTAGTCCCGATTGGCCCAGGTTCCCGCATTGGCAGTTCAGGTCAAGGTTACCGCCGCTGTGGAAAAAAGGGATGGACCGTTTTTTGCCGGGGAGTGTCAATGGACGTGAACATTGAACGTTTGTTTATTGGAACTGGCAGCCATTGGTGGGCAACTCGAAGGCGCGAATGGTCGATCGCTTGCAAGTTGAATGAAGACTGGAGCAAATACGAATAAAAGTACTTTATAACTTCATTTGTACTTAACATTTGTTTGTAGACTTTGTATTTTGCGCGTGGAGTATCTGAATACTGTGGATATGTGAAAATCGAATTTATCATTTCACATTTCCTAACAGTGAAAAGTTGAATTCTCATTATATTTCGTAGTCACACAGAGTATTCACACTTTCTAGGTGGTCATCGTGCGTGACTAGTCAGTTTCTATTCAAATGGGGCTTGAGACGCAGGATTCCCGGATAGACCGAAAAGTACTTGTTGTGGAATGAGTGAGAGGATATATCAAGCTGAACCATTCGGAAATCTCAAGTGAGAAGTTCTCTTCAATACGCTATTCATTGATCATATCGACCAGGATTATTCAGTTTTACAAAATAGGAAACGTGCTGGACACCTATTCTCTGTGTCACTCATTCTTTGAGCCGAACTGATCATGGCATTCAATCAAGCTAATTCACTGAATGGACTCTAGATTTTGTTATTTTAAAGATGCGTATCGTCTCACCGTAGACATAGATAATTTACAATCTAACATCAATCGGTATAGCAGTAAGGGAATTCGTTTCAACATATTCTTAAATTCCATACATTTGCTTAACATTTGATGAAGTTATCAAGTTTATGTTGATTGAATCAAATTGAATTTTCATTTGTGGAATGATTGATCATATTCTCTCCGAATTCGCAATTGTCTGTGTTTGAGGTGGTTGGTGAAGCATATGCAGGTAGTATGTAACACCGGAATACTTTGTGAATGTGGACCAATTCAGTATGACTGATCTCTAGATTTTCCATTGAAGATCATTCCTGTAGTCATTATCAAGTGATTTGTGAAACAATTGCCATTTTTATTTCACAGACGGCGCTGAGCATTACGAGGAATTTTTGAGCACTCTTCATCATGATATAAAGACATCTCAAGGTGCGTTTAAAATCCTGCTTATACTTACCATATTGCATTTTGTATGTTGTCTCTGAATTTGTTGTGTCAGTGTTGCTTCAACTAAATAGTACGCGTGTGAAGATCACACTGTGTCATGGTAGTACTTGTAGTAGTAGTAGTAGTAGTAGTATTAGTAGTAGTAGTAGGAGTAGATATAGTAATCACCTCAAACTTATCCGATTGTTGGACATATCACAGAGTGGAACAGGTTTCTTCACCAGATGATGTTTTGAGTTGAGTGTGTGGTTTGCATTGTTATTATTCTCTGAGGATTGCTCAGTATTTTGTACATGGGCATGGAATAAATAACAGTGGAATGCTGTTCAAATGTGTGTGAACACCAATATCCAGGGATCAGTAGAGACAGTGAAATTGATGATACCGTACAGTCGTTTGTTTACTCATCAGCTTTCATGTCAATAGTTGAGAAGTGAGCAATATTGACAACAGTGTCTCCCTATGTCCAGCGATCATGACACATATTGCATGAGTCACCAGACTGTTTATATATTTCCGATTCCAGTCAAATTGGAAAAACGGGCCACAGAAAAGAAAACAACTATCGATGAGTGTAAGTCAACAAATTAAAACAACATTGATAATTAATCGTTCTTTTAGTTGTGAATTGTCTGATCAAAACTTCTGGACACTACTACACGCCAGTAATTTACAAAAGTATGTGAAATGTTTGTTGTTTATTTTACAATCTACAAACAAAGAGACTGGACTATTGAAATCTTTCGTTAAATGTTGATTTTGAATTAACACCCCTTCTAAATATCACACAGATATATGTGGGCTGACGTCCAGTTGTCTAAATAATTTCTTTGAATACTGCATCATATGGTTGGGAATTTATCACCTTTCACCATCCTGATTCTTGTCTATCCTGAATTTGTCGTGTATTCACTTGTTTTGTCAGCTATTTCACATACCATCATAAGTGTGCACAAGTCATATGGTAAGTACGCTTTTGTAACTCGTTGTAGATTCTGTTTGATCTTGTTCGCTTTGCCCTTCAATCAGTGAGTTGTCGAAGGTGATTTGTGAGAAAAATTCAGTTGAGTCACACCACTGCTCTCGAAGGATGTGCATCAAAGTGACAGATTGTTTTCAGCTGCTTAAGATGCTGATCCCATATTTCAATGTTTGTCACTTGGCTACAACCAGTGTAATAGAGTATGATTGTATCGATCACTTTATCGAATCTCTGACTAATTATCTATAATTGCAAAGGCAATTAATTTATTTGCTGATATAATTAACAACTATGGACCACTAGTATTCGCCAGATGGCAAAAGAAACCTGAAATTATCCACTGAATTTGCTTCATTCAATCTCTTTGACAGGTGATTCTCGAATTACTGGTTAACAAATATTCTCTTTTCCTTTCGCATTTTATTCAGGGAGTTTCATCGACAAACCCTTGGATAAAGATCTTTGGAAGAGTTCGCTAATCCACGACTCTGAATGTAAGTATTAATATAATTGGTTGAGCAGGTTGGTTTCACTTCTGCTTCCAACTTCTCACTCGTCTGACTGAGTTAAACTTCGTTGTGTTCTGATCCACTATATTTAACTGGTAACTCAGTTATCGTTGATAGCATGAGCGTATGACTGAAAGACAGACAGTTAGTTTATGACATTGTCAAGAACAAAACAAGTGATGACTCTCTGTTGGTACTTACTACAATTCTTTTGTGAATGAGCACGTCATTTTGTATAGTTTGTACTGAGCCGGTCACAGTTTTCACAGGTGAATTCAGAGCAACTGGGAATTATTCAGCGACAGTATGCACATCACTCAATCAGAAGTTGTGCAGTTCATCGACTCAAAGCCAATCCTAGTGACGATTTCATACCTCAGGTATTTTTCCGAGGAGTTTTGTCACTCATTATCTACTCCCCAAGAATCACTTTCAGTCTATCAACAGGTTGGCGGAATTCGCTACAATCACACATATTCTTATCTCAGATGTTCTCACAAACGAGTATTATCTTTGTATGTGTTGATTTTTATGAATTTCAGTCAATCCAAGCCGTAAGTCAAATCACTAAATACTGGTGATCAGTAAAATAAAAGACACTATGTTTATTCTAGCCGGTGACATGCTGTCAATGCTATCCTCTTTTGTTTGAATAGTTACTTCTCAACTCCCGAATTTCAAAGTTTGTGATAGTCTTCTGTCGATTGAACACACTAAAGGTAATTCGAAACATGTCATTGTTTTTTGGAAGATTATATCATCAGTTTTATCTTTCATATGTCATAGACAGGTGTTGTTTCCTATTTATTCCGCTGAATAATAGTTGACAGTGACTTTCATACTACAATTTACGCGAGTGATGAAGCTATTCTCTACAAAGAGAAGGTCTACTTACTGGCAATTACTTTAATGATTCTTCTTCCAGTGCATTTTCCACTAACTGAATTTCTAAGATTTTATCACGATAAATATTATCGTTCATTTGGATCTCACGTCGGACATACAGCTTCAACACCATATCTTCACTTACTTCGGCTCTCGTCAGTGGCCTCAAGATTGCCCATAGCCTCTAATTTCTCCGTCGCACAATCTCCACAATGTATTCACATTCGGAAACACACTCACGTCTTCGTTTCTTACTCAGGTTCTACTCGAGCTATGGCCCACATTGAGCGTGATTTCAACTGATGGTCCCTCAGGAGTGTGTCTGATCCGTCCATATTTTCCTAGGCATATTTTGTTGATCAGTAGGTTATTGGTTGGTTCGTTCTCAGAGTTTCTTGTCGCTAATTCTCTCCACCCATTTGACTGATCTTCAATAAATAGCTAGCAAAGTAAGCTGTAGATAGAAGTCGTCCACCTACTGCAAATCCTGTGACATGTATTTACATATACACATGCGTATATAATATTGAATCTGATGAGAGGGATTCAACTTATACATAGACACCTTCTTCCAAATAAGCGAAATTTTTCTTCGTCCCCTACTGTCTAGAAATCATCATGTCTATCCATGATATGCTTTAAGTGTGTGTTTATACTCTACCCTCTTTTTCAGAAATAAATGATTTCATTCATTTGATAGCAAAGGTGTCCAATTGTGAGATTAATTTTGTGACACGTGCTGGTAAGTTGAACCATATACAGAGTGAAGTATTTTGCAAGGCACTTTCAAAATTCTAGTGTGTCATTAATATCTACTCAGAGGTGAGGTAGCACTTCACACCTAGGTGTTTCGCGTACACCTCATATAATTGATTTAATGATTGAAAACGATAGGTTTGCAACATTTTATCTGTTTCCTTACATGCGTCTACTCATGTTCACACATCAAGTAAGCCTTTCTGATGACAAACTGCATCTTCTCATTGTAGAAATCAAATCGATTTATGAGAATGTTAAGAAGAACATGATAGTGAGTTTATGTATCAGAATCAATCCACACACTTTCCTATGACAAGTATTAGTCTACGTTTTGTTTATTCTTCACCAGCAAATCTCATGTCGTATTCATTATTGTCCTGTGTGTGTTTGAAGACAAGTAGATGAGATGTTCACTTCAAACGAATAACTAAATATTGTGTGATTGAAATTTCATTTATCGGTACTATAATAAGATGGGAAGGTTTGGCCACTTTCTGATTGACTACCTTGACAGTTCGTTGATATGATTGTTTTAACTGAGGCGCTTAATTCACGTCTTGACAACATTTGAATGAATCGACTGTATGATCCAGCGTATGGACTTAAGCACAACCGATTTGAGTATTTCAGTCATTTGAAGCTGGAAATGTTGGAAATCGCTGATTGATTCACTCACTGAAACGTTTATATTTGCTTCAGCATCGTCCTTGATTTTATTGAAATTACTGATTCATTCGTCATTTCGCCTTCTTTCTTCTGTTCTTCAAGAGGGAATACATGTTACTGAGAAGAAATCGAAAAGTGTCATTCGTGTGAGATGGACGTATGTATTCAACTGTTTTCAAGAATCATTTGAAGACAATATGCTTTTTCTTTTCTCTTTCACTTGATTCGACTTAATTGTTCACAGTTTTTGATAGTCGTAGTAGTAGTGGTAGTAGTAATAGTTGTGAAATATGTAAGAATAATATTAAATATATTAATAAAAGTAATGATAATAATATTTTGACTTCATTTTGACTTCCTTACCACAATGTTCAATGATGGTGGTGTGTGTAAACGTTTACAGTCATATGAGAACATATTTGCAGGATGACCAAGCTCGTCTCACTTCACGAAATCTCTTCAATCGTGAAAATACTAGACTTAATCAAATTATAAGTTAGGAAATGTTTGAACTCACTTTTCACCACGACGTCAAGTTACCGATAGAACGAAAAGTCAAAATAATTTCGAAAACGATGCAGCTAGACAAATTATTCAGTGATGAGAGACTAACTGTTTGTAGCGCAATAAGAGAAGGGCAGGCGGTTGAGTTTAAATTCTGCTTGGAAATAAGGACTGACTGGAGACTAACTATAAGATCGAAGAACAGAGTGAATTGATACATATTCTGATGGTGAGGTGAAGAGGGTGAGGATGAAGACTGGAGTGAAATTATGACAGACAAACAATCAAGTATGTTTGGAAACCGAATAGTGAGTTCAACTGAGTGAGTGAGTGAGAATCCAAATCAAGTGGGATGTTGGGCGACAGGGCAAAACACAAAGCGCACAAACAAAGAGATATCAATTCAACTGCTCGCATTACTTGAACTAGAAAACACAATTTAATCAAACGCATCTTTTCGGTAACTCCTCATAAAGTAAGTGAACTGGTGGATAATAGCCTAGGTGATCACACCATTGATAACATGAGATGGCATACCAATACTAGGTAATACTGACTAGCAACGACAGCTTGGTCAGTCAATTATTGTGAGTGTGTACGTTTGTAGGAGTAGAGGGATACAGGAACTATTGTCTCATCACAATGTTAGGTTTGATAATAAATTGTGAAATTAAGGCGCAGTATGATAATGGTGATGAAAACAAAGATATCAGCACAACTGGAGATGATATTTGCAGAGGAAGAATAACAGGAGCGGAAGACTGTTGTGCAGTAAATTCGTTTTCAAAATGCACAATGATAGATGCAACAATTTTAGCACACATTAGCCAATAAAGACAAGTCAGGACTATATGGGAGTGTCCAGTGTGATATAAGTGAAAGATTGAATTAAAGCCAGTGAAGTTTTCTTGCCATCGAAATCCATGTAGAATGTGTGATCCACCAGAACATGAGATAACATGACGTTAAGTAATTCAGTAACGTATTTGTGTGCATATAATGGACGGGTTTCAAGAAGTGAGTGTAGTCAGGGAGGGAGAGGGAAAGAGACAGTGCCATAAAAATGTGAAACTGACAAGTAAGATATGCTGGACTCAACTTCAGTTTGTGATCTAACAAAGACTCTATGATATTAAGCCCTAACATCCAAGTGAATATTGCTTTGATGTTTGAAACAACAGGTGATAAGTTTGACTCCCAATGAGAACATCACAGTGACGAATTCCAAATAGGACGAAATGAGAATTCTGGTTTCCAGTGTTATTATTATATTATTGTTCCCTTGGATTCCTAGTGGAACATAGGGCTTCACCTGCACGCCTCCGCTTGCTTCTGTCTTGTGCTGTACTTTTCACTTGCATCCATGTTAATCCATACTGTTTCAGTTCCTGTTCACACGATCCCCTCCATGTCACCCTTGGACGTCCCACTCGCCCCTTCCCTTTCGGGTTCCACTCGAAAGCCTGACGCGCGATGTCACCCAACGGCCTCCTCAGTGAGTGTCCAATCCATCTCAACTTTCTCCTGCACATTTGATGACAGATTGGTTCCTGTTTCGCTTGTTCCCATAGTTTCTTGTTTGTGATTTTTTCTGGCCATCTAATCTTCAGTGTGGAACGAAGACAGTTGTTGATAAAGGTCTGCAACCTGTTGAATATATTCTTTGTGACCCGCTGCCAAGTTTCTGATCCATCCGTATAGAAGAAGTGACTTGACGTTTGTATTGAAAATCCGAATCACTTTGTTGTTGATGCAGGCTGAGTGACAGCGGAAGATTTCCAGATTGCTTTCAGGTTGATGAATGTGTTTCTCGCCTTCCCGATTCTCGCTATTTGACATCCTCGTCCGTTCCTCCTGTGGTTTAGACAATGCTCCCTAGATGAGTGAAAGAAGTAACCTCTTTCAAATCCCTCCCGTTGATGATGATTGCCGCTGGATGTTGCTGATGTGACTGTTGTTGTTGGTTGGTTATTTTCATAACCTCCGTCTTGTCTATATTCACCTGGAGTCCTGTCTTTGCTGCTTCTTCGACCAGTTTGTCGGTTTTCGCTTGTAAATCTTCGATTTTGTGTGACATCAAACATAAATCATCCGCAAAATCCAGGTCTTCTAGGTTCTTCACGTCGGTCCAGGATATCCCTGTCCTCTCGTCTCCCACTGTCTGACGCATAATCCAGTCCACCACAATTAGGAATATCATCGGTGATAATAAGCACCCTCGTCTGACTCCTGTGTTTACTGCAAACGCCTCGCTGAGTTTTCCGTTGTGGATCACTTGACATATGCCGTTGTCGTAGAGCTGTTGAATAAGGTTGATGAATAGTTGGGGTTCGCCATAGTACTCGAGTAGTTTCCAAATTACTTCACGGTCAACACTGTCGAAGTCCTTCTCAAAGTCTATAAAGTTGAGGTAGAGATTTGATTGCCATTCCATGCTTTGTTCGATGATAACGCGTAGAATTGCAATTTGGTCAGAACATGATTTGCCTTTCCTGAATCCAGCTTGTTCTGGTTGGCGGAGTGCTTCCTTTATTCTCTCCAGGATGATGCGACTCAGGATTTTACTTGGCGTCGACAGGAGCATGATTCCTCGCCAGTTCTTGCAGAGTCCGAGGTCGCCATTCTTTGGTTGTTTTACGAGGTAACCTTTCCTCCAGTCAGTAGGCACCTTACCCTCCTTCCAGACCTTTTGCAATAATGGAGTCAGCATATCTGCTGTCGTTTCTGGATCCGCTTTCAGTGCTTCAGGGGGTATTCCATCTGGTCCAGCTGCTTTTCCAGCTTTCAGAAGCTTGATTGCACTCAAGACTTCAGCTTTTGTTGGAGGATTGGTGTCAACTTGCAGTTGTGTACGTGCTGTTGTTGATATTTCTGGATGGGTTGCAGGTGATGGTCGGTTCAAGAGTCCTTTGAAGTGATCCGCCCATTGTTTAATCTGTCTTTCTTCCTTGGTATTTGAGTTCCCTTGGCTCTCTTTTATAGGTTTCATTTGTGTTGATCTCTTCCCGGATAGAGACTTGGTTATCTGATATGATGTCCTCAGGTCCCTTTTGTCTGCTGCCTTCTCAGCTTCAGTAGCCAGGTTGTCGTAGAATTGTCTTTTGTCCTTCCTGGCACTCCTCTTCAATTCTTTGTCCAGTGCTGTGTATGTTGAGCTCAGCGTCTCTTTCTCTTGTCCGTCTTTGCATTGAATCATTTTCTCTTTCATCATTCTCCTCTCCTCTATTAGATTCCAAGTGTCCGTTGAGATCCATTCCTTGTCTTGTTTCTTCTTTCTTCCTAAAACCGTTGAACACGTGCCGTTGAAAATTACCCTCAGAGAGTTCCAATGGTCTTCCACGGATGATTCCTCAGTGGTGCCATGTAGTGTTTCCTGCTTTGCTCTGACAGTTGCAGTGAAAATGTCCTGTGTGATTGTGTCCTTCAGTTTTTGCGTGTTGAACTTGCATTGTGGCCTATCCCCAGCTATCCTCGAGGCTTTCAGCTTCACCTTGAATGTCCCTTGTACTAGATAGTGGTCTGAACGCACATCTGCTCCTCTCCTCAATCTTGTGTCCAGTAGGCTCCGTCTCCACTTCCTTGAGATTGAAATGAAGTCTATCTGGTTTTTGGTGTGTCCATCTGGTGAAATCCATGTTGCCTTGTGTATATCGCTGTGTTTGAACACACTGCCACCAATCACCAAATCATTGAAGGCACAGAAGTTTGAGAAGAGTTCACCATTTTCGTTCATATCACCGAGGGCCTCACGACCCATGGTGAGTTCTCTTCCTGTGTTGTCTCCTCCCAGTTTTGCATTCATGTCACCCATCAGGATTTTGATATCGCTCTTTGAGACGTTGTCCATTACTGTTTGTAGTTGACTGTAGAAATCCTCCTTCTTCTCTTGTTCTGACACGTTTGTAGGCGCGTAGCATTGAATGATTGTAACCTTTTTTCCTTTTGAGTTGAACCTAGCTGTCATTATCCTGGAGGAGATTGGTTCCCACTGCATGAGAGCTTTAGCCGCTGTTGGTGACATCATGGTGGCTACTCCCTCGTTGTGCTCGTGATCGTCCTCTGGGTGACCGGAGTAGATTATTGTCTCTTCAGTTGATAGTTGGCTCCTTCCACATCGGTTCCATCTGCTCTCGCAGATTCCCAACACTTCTATTTTATATCTCCTCATTTCTGCGGCAACCTGAGCAGCCTTTCCAGTTTCGTACATTGTACGAATATTCCACGTCCCCATCCTTATTTTTGCTTTCATCGAAAGAAGGCAGTTTCCAGTGTTAGTCAGCATCAACGGAACTAAATTCACTATTTTTTCTTAGAAGTCATCGAAATGTCCTGAGGAGAAGTCAACATGTCATCAGGGACCCAGCATTTTCGTTCAAATAATCACTCGTATTGGAAAACAACTTAAGCTGAAAATAAATGATAATAATGCCAACGTTAGTCTTCTTAGTGTGTGGTCACTCCGTCTTCATTTCCTGCCGCATATTTGTTGGTCAGTATAATCTCGGTTCGTTCGCTGCCAGAGCTACCTGCTGCTAGTCCATTTATGTCTATGGCGAAAGGTGTTGATGGAGGGTTTCTTGATGACGAGATAGATCTCGGAACCAGATTAGATCACTGACTGACTTTATATTACTGTCGAAAGTCCGGATCTTGT